TTCTCATCATTAAAATTTATCAGTTTTAGATAAAAAAAAAATTATGGATGTTACAAAAATAATGTTAATGAATCTAGTATTAGTTGATTCAGCTGAAAAAAAAAATTTAAAACTAAAATTAATAAAAATTTACTTAAGATCAATAATGTCTCAATAAAAATTAAATAAATTAGCCTTATTATTTATTAAAAAATAAATGTTAAATAACATTAATTACAATAATTTTATAAATAATTTTGCATTATAAAAAATTTTAAAAAATAAATTTAAATAAAATTATAATAATTTTAATAAATTATTTTATTAATAAAAAATAAATCTCATTCTTAAATTTGCTTTAGGCTCAAAAACTCTTGATCCCACCCTTAACTAAATACAAAAATTAATACCTCAATTTCTTTGGGATAACTAGATAAAAATATTTATGCTTTACTTCTAACAAGTGCATAACAAGTGCATCAGCTCATAAAAGTAATGTAAGTAAAATATTGGAATATGTATTGATTTATCAAATCAAATTAATCAAACATAGTGAATATTAAACTTAAAATAGGTATTACTCTTAAAATTTTAAGTTTTTAACAATTTTTTAGTAAAAATAAATTGTGTTTAGTTACCCGTTTAATTTAAAATTTTATAAGATATATCAAATTTAAAAAATAAATAATGTTAATACTATTTAATATATTATCATTTAACTATATTTTAATAAATGATATATATTTTAACATATAAAAATATTTTTAAAAAATCACAGATTCAATGAAATGAGTTATATTCCTAAATGATCGAAGAATAAGTTTAATAAATTATGAATAACACCTCACAATATTTTTTTTTTAAAATTTCATGAAAGTTCAAGAAATCTAGTATAACGATCTATTTCATAAGCATAAATTTAAGAGTTAAAACATAAATAAAATATGGAAGTAGAAAAAAAAATACTGTAATCAAACCATAAAATTTTAACTGTAAAATGCTCATAACTAAAGAAAAGGAGGGAAAAAAAAAAAGAGAAGAAAAGGAGAACTCTTACTTTTTGTTTGGATAAGAAATTTTAAAATTTTAAAAAATATGAAAGTAACAATGATAGGTGCTTGAAGGATTAGTGAAGTGTAAGAAAAGTACGAATGATAAATATAAAAAGTTAAGCATGAATTTAAAATTCATCCTAAAAATAAATCATTTAAAATTATTTTTATTTAACATAAAAATTATGTAGTTAAAATTATGTAGTATTTCAAAATTACTTTATCTTATTATCTAACTACATAAATGGTAAGAATTTTAAAATATTTTACCCAAACACAGGAAATAATTTATAGAAGAAAAGTTTCTATTATTGATAAAGAAAATTTGATACATCTCAAATTCATAACGAACATAGAGGAAATATTAATATGCAAGAGAAAGAAAGTGAAAACAAGAACAAGAGCACTACCTAACTAACTCAGGTCCAAAATTAGGTATGGACCATATGCAAGCTAAATGTAGCAATGTGGAGGAAATGAAACTAAGAAAAGGACGAAGATGTAGAGCCTTGGTAAAGAAATTAGCTACCTAATCCAAAGATGATAGGGGCAAAAGGCGCCTGTAGCTTGGTCAAGCCATGTAGATGAAGATTGATAGTTTGCTAGGCCACTGTTAGAAAGCATGTCAAGACAACATTGTAAGCCCTTCATCTATGCATATCGCAGTAAACTGATAATATGCTTAAGAAAAATTTTGTATGTCTCAATTGTCTAGAAGCTTAAATTATATATATGAAACCAAACTCTAGTAGAACCTTAAGTATTGCCTCAATTTTGAACTGGATGAGAAAGCAAATGGTTAGCAAGTTTTGCTACCAATGAAATAAATTTTGGGAACTGCAAATCATGTTTTCAAAATGTACACAATCAAGCCCAGTTTGGACTTCGACGTTGAACCATTTGAGACCCAATTCACCCACTTGACCTACTTTCCTAGGTACTTCCTACGCCTAAATGTAGAGAATTTTAATATTTAGTAGTTACAGAAACTCACTTCGTAGGGACTCACTCCACTGGAATTACCAATTAATAGTTGCTAGGTGCTCTCGCTTGTATAGATTGTGACTCACCCACATCAAAACACTATAAATAAAGTGCTTCATACGCCATCGGGTAGATTTTTTTACTTATATATTGTTAATCTGTTAAAAAACATACTAACTTAAACATTAGATTATCTTTATGTGTACCCTCTATACTTTTGCCTTCTTATTAGACTGACATCACTAGCATCTACGCTATTTATTCAAGAAGAGTATTAGAAACAAAATCTTAGTTATTGACTGAAATTTATTAAAACTTACAAAAATACGAAGAAAAAAATTAAATTAAGAGTAACAAAAGGTAAGACTCACATAATTTGTATAATTTTTAATCAATTTTAACAAATAACTAATAATGCATTGAAGTGTGTGTGTGTGTTTCTTTTTTTCAAAAAAGTGTGTTATTAACACTGGTTCTGTAGTATCAAACTCAGGACAAACCACTGACGAATAAATACTATTTTTTTTTAAAAATCTGTAAAAAAAACTAACAAAAATGGTTATTTTCAAAGTAAATTAAATTAAACATCCTTAATGGTTTTTATAATTAGTTGAACCCTCTTAAAGAAACTCATGTGATCGGGATATGAGCACAGGATGCAGAACGCATGCATGGGGTCACTTGTCAAATTTGTTATAATCATTGTGGGTAGGAGTGCATTTATTAGTGATTAAGCAGATTGGGCTTGTTTGCGACCCAAGTAGCCTTATTTCTTCCAACAATATTGGATAGCGTGGGAACCACATTGGGCCTTCATGCTACGACAACCTTTGTCCTACATACATATCTGCTTTCTACAGTCAACACACTTGACTCTAACTGGCCTGACGAATCAATAGTAGTTTATGGCAGAAATTACTTGGCAGAGTAAGTAATGGTAGGGTCACAACGCAACATTCATGTTTTCTCATCTTTGCCCTTCAACCATCACTATCACTTTTGTAATAAAAAAGACGGTGACGTTTTCCAACTCTATACCTTCAATCCTTAATTTATGCAATTACCATGTACAGCAATATATACAATCCCACATTAAAAGCGCGCTCCATTAAAAGATTACTCATACTTGTCTCCCCAAAAATACACTACTCTTACATGCTATGGAGTACCCTTAGTTCTAAAGAAAGATACTAGTTAAGAAAGAATAAATAAATATTAGCTAAATCGTTCCACTTTTATAATCATAAACTTTTATAAAAATATTTTATTTTAGCTAAAAGATGGCTGAAATAGAAAATGCAAGGCAAATGCTACACTGACAAATGAATTAAAAAAACAAATTAAAATTATTATTATGACATTCGCACCATAATTTTCCACATATTCTATTTATTAATTTCTTAAACAAAAAGATGACTTGTATAAAAAACTAATCCAGAATTTAAAAAAGTATAAAACAAAAGTCATGCTACCAAATGCCTTAAAGGTCAATAAATAAACTTTTATTAAATTTAGTGTACCCTGAAAATCAGTGTAATGCCACTCTTTTATGAAAAAAGGAAATCTAATTTTATTTATGGATCCAGTAGTTAAGAATACCGTTCATAATGCTTATAATGCAGAAACTATTGTGAAAATTTACTCTATTTAATTGTATATAAGCAACAGTCAAATTTCTTAACATACATAGATTCTTAATAAATATTCAGATTTTAATGATATCTTGTGTTAAAAGATATTATATATATATATATATATATACAAAAAAAAAATCTTCTTTTACTATTATAAAATTAAAAAAATTTATATTTAATCTGAATTTTTCTTTTAACTTATATTTAACAATAAATAAAATAATAAAGATATAAATTAAATAAAAAAATTTAAATTTAATATAAATTTTTTTAAAGATCCTATCTTTTTATTTATATATATATATATATATATATATATATATATATATTAATTAGCGTGAGATTTTACTTATAAAAGATATTTTATGTGCTTATGATGATGGTCTTCGAAACAGTTGACATGAGTGCATCATACTTCCCAAACTACCAAGTTTTCTTGCCCCACAGATATACTGTACGATGGAAGACTTTTAGGATCCATGGTTCCGCAAAAAGAATCAAGTGTGAACAGCCACATCGTCCATGTGTGTGGCATGAATTCTCAAAGAGACTATGCTGATGGGGGAAGCATGTTGAACAGTTCACCATCTTGAATGCATACATAGATGGAGTCAGTTGCTGAATTTGTGCCTTAGTTAATGCATCACAGGCCCATGAGAAAGGGATGTTCCCAACAGTTGCCTTTTCCAACCCTTCTTTTTCCCTCATCACTTCCATCATCATCCCCCCATAAACAGTTCTCAAAAACCACTTTTCTGTAGCGAAAAGTCAAACCACCCTTGCTTGAATTGAAACTTCAACACATAATAATATATACAACCTTAAAAATAAGGACTATACCAATTCCTGTCCTTTCCGATAGCTTTTTACACGTATCACCCTATTCCGTCCTTCTGTCTCCTAAATTGTTTTAATTAGTACCTTCCTATTCTTAACGAATTAGCCATATATTCTAAGTAACAAACGAATGTCTCGGACACATTGAATATCTAAATGACCCATTTCAATCTTCATTTGGCTGGTAGACAAATATAACTAAAAGGATTAATATAGAAAGCAGCAATAAAGCATTGAAAAATGAAAATGAATGGAGAAAGGTTATAGTAATAAAATTTTAATTATATTATTATTTTTATTAAGTTTGGAAAGAGGGTCCCCATGTGATAAAAGAAAGGAAATCACAACAGAGATAGGTGTGATCTCAACAGAAGTGACGCAAGGTACACAGTCACCAAACTCAAGCAACTATCCTTTCTGTTTACCTCGAATGGCTTCTCAGTAATGTTGGACCACACCTATATTGAGGAGCTTCCGGGAAAGGTTGCAGCTTTTTGTTGGGTTCTAACTTTGATCATGTGGCTCCTACTCCAAGGAAATCAATAAATGGAGGGGGAATTGCATCTGGGGGGTCACTGTTCAGGGCTTCATCTCTGTGTTCTGCCACTGATGATAGTGAAGGTTCACTGCCCAATATCTGTGCTGTGGAATTTGAGAAACCGTAAAAATTGTGATTGTTTTGGTGTTGCATTAGCATCACATATTGTTGAGGGGGATAATGAGGGTAGAAATCAGATGGTTGGTGATGATGAGAATGTGCATCACTTGGCCTGTCCCAGCATCTGTTCTGGCCAAAATACTCCCCCACTATGTCATTGCTTCTACCACCTGAAAATCCAAATAGCCGTGTGAAGCAATAGAAAAATGTGCTTTATGTATGCAAGTTTGAGAGAGAAGGAAAAAATGAATGGTTTTGCTGCAACCAAAAGGGAAGGGTTGCATCAGTCACTGTTGTAGACCAAAAAGAGAGATAAAAAATAAGACATTTAACTTGGTCTTTGAACAGTATGAAAAAAGTGAGCAAAAAGCTTATGAATGAATGCTTGAAACAAAAACATGAAAGTCAGTAAAAAAAAAAAAAAAACATATGGCATTAGTTGCAGGAACAAGAGAGGGTTTAAGTGGACACGCACCAGAAATGAAATCAAGTGGCGTTGGTTGAGCATACAAGCCAATATGAGGAGGGGCCAACTTGGTGGTTGAGATTGCTTCTTTGTCACCAGTCATGTGGGGTGAACCATTTAAGCCATAATCAACCCCACCCCCACCATGGAAGGAGGCAGCAGCATATGGGAAAGTAGCAATGTTATTGCCAAGTCCTCCATTTGTGACATTGAGACAATAGTGTGGTGGTGGTTGTTCTGTAACTGCAGTGGCTGCTGTGTCTCTAGAGACAAAGCTACTTGTTGTATTTTCCTCTACTCTTCTGTATACAGATTGGCTCAGCCTCCTCCTCCTGTAAGCACTAGATTGTTCTCTGTACTTTCTGGCCATTATAACGTGCCAGTGGTTCTTCACTGCATTATCTGTTCTCCCAGGGAAAAGCCTTGCAATCATGGCCCATTTGTTGCCATAGATTCTATGTGCCTGCATTAGCCTTTCTTCCTCTTCTTCAGTGAATGCTCTCCTATTAATCCTCGGGTCCAACTGATTGAACCACCTCAGTCTACAACTCTTGCCTTCAAACACAAAACATCCCCAAAAAAAGATCTCAACATAAGAATGTTAAGAAAAGAAAATGACCCAAGATACATATATATACTCATTTAATGATAAAAAGGACACCACCAAAAGAGAAGAAAAGATAAAAGTTCTTTTAAGAATAAAGGAAGTAGAAGTTCATGTATGCGTATGTTATAATGCTATATAATATGATAAATATTATTTTGCACTAATTTTCACACCTGATCTTCCTTCTAACTTCTCGGCTATGAGGTTCCAGTTTTGAGGCCCATAAAGAGCCACAAGTTCCTTGAGCTTGGAATCTTCTGCAGGTCTCCAATGCCCTCTTGCGCAAAGTTTGGAATGCCCAGTATCTACAACCTCTTTGCCACTAAGAGAATTCTCATTAGGGTTCTCTTCGTTAAAGTTATTAGCATTAAGGTTAACTTTGTCACTGTCTTCTCCAACCCCATCATCACTACTATCAGACCCTTTACCCTCCTCCACCCCATCACTGTTGGGGTGTTCCTCAAAGCTCCTACCAAGACATTGCCTCATGAAGGGTGAACCCCAGCTCGTAGAGCCATAGCAATCTTGGTGGGATGAAGAAACAGCTGAAACCACACCGTAGTTAGAGCAAAGAGAAAGAGAATCCATGTCAGCATGAACCATTCCCATCGAAGGAGAGGAAGAAGAATAAGAAGATGAAGATGGGTATATAACACTTGCTGGCCATGCCTTCATTTTTTTCTTTCTATGTATATTGGAAATGGGTATATGAAAAAGAAAAACTTGTAACAAAATGGCAAAAAATATAAATAAAGAAAAAGAATATTTTATGTGACGAAGATGAGTAGTAACAGGAGAGCAAAGTTTGACAGGACAGACAGTGAAGGGGAAGAAGAAAAAGCAGATTTTGCAGGAAGGAAGCGAGAAGTTAAAAGAGCTAAAGTGCTTTGGTTTCAAGTTTTAACAGATACCTACACGGATTCTCCACTCACGGTCTCAAATGAAACCATTGGTTCAATGAGAGAGAGAGAGAGAGAGAGAGAGAGAGAAGTAGTTAGGTACCCAGACTGAGGCAATGACCCTGGCATTCTTCATTTAACCAGTTGCTGTCATTATATCACTACTATTTATTCTATTCTTTTAACAAATCACACCTCACTCACACGTGTGAGAGTGAGAGACAGGGAGAGACTCTCTCTCTCCATTCATGGGGGGTTGCAGGGTCTTAGGCTGTCTCTCTCTAAATTGACAAGAAAGACACTTATGTGATGGGTGGTTGCTTCGCCTTGTGCCAGCATCAGGGACACCTTTCTTTTCTAAACACAATAAATTTTAAGCCTTTGCTTTGCTATAGCTACACAACACAACCGAACAACCCTTGTCATGTTCATATACATATACACTTGCACTAACCAGTAAATGACCCTATAGTGCCTATTCATAACCTGTCCTTTTCTCTCTCTCTCTCTCTCTCTTTCAATATCTGTGTCCCCATCGCCATCAGCATCACCATCACCATCACTGCTTAGTCCCTCTCTGCTTGTGCTTGTGTTTTTCGCTTGTTCTTCTGCTTGTGTTGTTATTAACTAGATGCAATTTAAAGAGGGTTCAGTAACCTTGGTTTCAGTTGTGGTAACCACTTGAAGTCGACCTAACAAACCCAACACTTTGGTAAGGAAATTACATCTAGTCTCTGTACATGTGGGTCGTCCCTCAACTAATTCACTACATTTCTATAAACCCTTTTTTTCATTTTCTTAAAACTCTTTTAAGGATCCATATATTCTTATATGATCAGTTCAGGATATATTGTAATTTTATTGTTATATATTGTTTATTTCGATAAATATTTTTTACTTTTCTATTCATAAATTATTTATACTTATTAATACTTACTGTTGTAACATATATTTTAACAAGTTTTAATTTTTTCTTCATAGGGGGATGCAGATTTTAATCTTAGGACACTTTTTATTTGAATTATTTACTAAGGAAATAACATTTTTTTTAAAAAAATTATGAAAGTTGATAAAATTAATTATTTTATTAAAATAAAATAAACATAATATATTTAAAATACAAAATGTTGTTGAAAATTTATCTAAACTTCTCTTTAATAATAATAATAATAAATTAGTAATAATAATATACGCGCACATGAATCAAGTTGTTTTTCGGTAGTTCTTATCCGTTACTCCATTTAATTCTTCAAGCATTAAATTTTATTAATCTAACCATTAAATTAAAAATTCTTCTTAAATATACCAAATCTTAAAAAAATTATATAAAACATTAATTAAAAATGTATTAAATATTATTATTTTAATATTTATTGTCTAATTTTAAAATATAAGGAAATATTAATTGTAAAATTTCGTATTAATAAACATACAATTATGTAAAACTTTTATATATAAAATCAACATAATACATGACTTTATTTATTAAAAAATTATATAATAACAAATTATGAGTTTTTGTAAATTTATTACTTTATTTATCAGTAAAACTAATAAAATCAAAATTTATAGAGTAAATAAGCAGCACAATTTCCATTAAGTTTCGATTATTATTATTATTATTATTATTATTATTATATACACATGCGCGTATTGTTATTTAAAAAATATATAATAATTATATAAATTATAAAATTTTGATATATTTATGATTACTAAAATCATTTTAAAATTATATATATATATATATATATATATATATATATATATATTAGTTCTACGCTTATTCCTTATATGTATATGTATTTTTATATTCTTAGAAATTATTATTAGATTTTAGTATGTATAATTTCAATTATTTTAATAATACTAAAATAATCATGTATTTAAAAATAAGATTACTATAATTTTCTTAGAAACAATTGATTATTTAAATTTTAAAATATTATTTTAAAATTAATTTTTTTAAGTATTTTATATTAAACAATTAAATCTTCTAAAAATATTTGTGTCATTTTATATTTAAAAGAATTACTTATTATCACTGACAATTTAAAAGGTGAAGTTAATTTATTGAACTTTTAAAATTGATAGATTAGTCTAATAATTAAAGTTTTAAAGTTTAACTTCTAAATTTATCTTTCATGTATTACTCTTTTTATAATATTTTAATTATAAAATAAGATTATAAATTAAGAAATATATAAATTTTTTAAGTTCAATTTTAGAAAGATTGTGATGACAGCAAAATGGCTCAAGTGTAAACGCCTTTTCTTACATAGACTATCTAATTAATAGGTAAACCTTTCTTACATAAACTATTTAATTAATAGGTAAACCTTTTTTACACAAATTATCTAATTAATAGGTACACTTTTTATAAAAAAGAAGTTGATAAGTTAGGATTTATGTAAATGGATTTTCACATGAAAGAATAAAATATATTTTTTTATTTGAGCATTTCAAGTCCTATAAGTGATGTATGTTACTAACGTAATTAATGAAAAATGATCTATTTTATTTGTGACTACAAAATAAAATAAATATTTCAATGAAAATCATGTAGTATTGAAATTGAGGATGATCTTTTTATCAAGACATCATAATTACTTTAGATCGCTCTAAATGTAGATAATAATTTATACATAAGTGATATTACAATGATGAGATTTGCATCAATTTATCGTATCATTTTGTATTCATAAAAAACAAACAAGTCTCAATCACACGTAAAAAAAAATAGAAACGATTAACTTTAACATATATTACTTTTATATTATATTCTTTTTATTTATCTTTTTTCTTATCCTTTACTTTAATAATTTTCCTTTTGATTTTTTAGTGTCTCTGTCAAAGTAATAATACTATTAATTATGAATATTATGCAATAGATAATAAACTTACAATTAAATATTATTTGATCCTATTTTAATGTACTTTTTAATATTAATTTACATTAATTTTATTAAAAATATTGTATAAAATTTATTAATTAGATTATTTTATACTTTTAAATTCAAGTTATAAATAATTATTAAATTTAAGTAAATTTATCATAAATTGAAATAATTTATGTTTCAAATGAACGTTATCATTATTAAAAAAATAGAGTTATAATAGAGTGTTATATCACAACACTTAATATGAGCGTTATGACGCTCATTCAACAAAGAAAAAATAAAATTATTCAAGACTTTGGGCGTTCTAACATTGAAATAATAGTATTTATTTACAAAATAATGAAGAAAGACTTCGCAAGCATTTTAACGCCCATGTGACTATGAAGTCTATAAATAAATATCTTGAAAATTAATTTAAGAACATATATTCATTCTTTCATATTTTTTTACTTTAGGGTCTTCTTAGATTTAGATTTTCTCTCTCGATACTTATTTATATCTTCTCAAATTCTCTAAGAGATTTTATTCAATTAACATAGTGTTATTGTATTGTTTGGTTATGTTTCTAAATTAATGTACGATGATTCTTGGTTAAGCTTTGTATAATAATTTTGTAGTTGAATTTGATTTAAAATATTTAGCAATTTAAAAAGGATTATTCATGTTTTTATTGCATCAATTGGCTTAGGTCTATCATCATTGTGTTATTATATTATTTGATTGTATTTCTAAACTATTGTACGATGATTCTTGATTAAACTATGTATAGTAATTTTGTAGTTGAATTTCATTTAGAATTTTTAGCAATTCGCTAAGAATTATTTCTATTCTTAGTGCTTTAATTGGGTTAGGTCATTTAATTGATTGTATCATTAATGTTTATAGTTGTTAACATATATTGCTACAAATGTTTTTCTTTTTAATTAGAAAACATAGAAACATCTAGTTTTTCTAACTAGGAATTAAGGTAGGATATGAAAAACATCTAGTTGTATTATCTAGTGATTTGAACTAGGCAAATATAACTAGAAAACTGAGTTAAATTTGTTGTTTTTATTTTTGTATTATGTGATAAATTGTATAATTTATTTCTGCACTTAATACTTCTTTTTAAATGATTTAGTATAATTTACAATGAATATATTAATGTTATACTCAGAATAAGGATGAGTTTTGTAACACTTTAAATTTAATTTCAAATAAATAATAACTTCGCAAATTCGCAATAATAAAAGTTTTATAAAATATTTTCAAATAAGGAAAGAGTTACAAGTTTATATCAAATAACTGCTACAAGATCATTTCTAATACAACAGTCTCAAAATAACATGCTAAGCCCTATAGCAGTTCTATCCAACCTTTTACTGAGTCCAGTGCTGATCGTCTTGATTAGCTGAAAAATAAATGTAATGGTAGATACTTTACACTACCAAACACACAAACAAGTATAGAGTCTCACCTTGCACATAATTCATACTATTTCTAATACAACTCACACAATATAATTACAGACAGCATTATCACTCATTTCATTTCCATTCATAACTGATGCACTCATGGCACCAAAACATTCATGCACACGCGCGCTCACTGCACGTAGCCATGCTCACTATGGCACTGTGATCATAGATTCTCACTATGGATGGTCGTCGGTTACCCCCGCCTCACAGATATCACGTGGGTAGTCACGGGTCGCTCAGCAAAGGTAGTGGTCAGAGGTCTAGTAAGGAAGAGAGTGGTGCACCCGCTCCCACAGTCGGTGTCACCATCACTCCCTCTTCCCCAAAGT